GCGGTCAACATTTAAATGAAATTATCTTCAAAAAGTAAATGTCATGAACCAATCTAACGTTTCAAATAAAGAACCGATGAGATTTTGCAAATTTTATGCGTTTTTTTTTTTAAAAAAGTTATCAAGCTCTTAAAAAATCACCCGATATTAGCGTACGAATTTTCCAGCTACGCACTACAAACGACACTTTTACGACACGCCTGCGACGATACCGTACGACATTTCCACCGCTTGCCGCCACACTACACGAGAAGCTATCAAATTTTCAATCAAAATAAGCGGATTAACTTTTCCAGTACACGCCGCACAGATTTCTCGGTCACTGGCGAACACAACGGTTTCGACGCTCCGACGTATCGAAAGTAGGCGGTGATTGCAAGAAGTAGAAAATTTCTGACACCCCAAAAAATGTGCGGCCCTATCGTTTATACTTCGCTTGAGGAAATTCGTTTGTGTTGTTGCACACTTTCGAGCGGCTGGCGACGAACTGATTTAGTAGAAAAGTTAGACGGAGTTCAATAGCTTAGAAAGAAATGCGATTTATTTCGCTAACCAGATTGCAAATACTTTTTTTTTTTTTTTTTGTTTTTATTGACGAGAAAGAGTGGAGAAGCCGTTGCTGCAAGTGAACGCAGTCTGCAGTGGCAGCGTTGCAGCTTTAGCGGGCCAAAGCAGTAAGAAGAAGTCTTTAGCAAAAGTGCCGGGACTATTTACAACACAACCACCGTCCTCGCTGCACCGCTCTCCAGCAAGCATGTAACTCTGTTTTTTTTTTCTTGCTTCCCTTCTTTTTCCAATTTCTGTTGCATGTTGCAAGCGGCATGTTGCGGACAGCGTACGCAGTCATGGCTGTTGTGGTCGTCGGCAGTTCGTTGGTCAATCGCTCGGCCGGTGGGTAGGAATAAGAAGCCACTGTTAAACACTCGTTTGCTCAAGTCGTCGTGCTGCCTTGGCGTCGAGGCCGGTTTAGTCAGCAAAATGCAAGCGCTCTTTTTTGTTTTGCTACGGTTTTCATTGACGTGCAGTCAAGCGACCCAGCAAGCAAATGTGCCACAGCCAGTCGCCGTCCAGGTTAACTTCTTCGCCGGTTTCTATGCTCTTCAGATTTCACAAAAGCATTGCTGCTGTCAACACGCTGGCGGCGGGGTGTAAAGTGAAAATCTCAACTTCTCTTGTGGCTGCTCGTTGACGTGTATTATTGTTGTTCTATTGCTCTGTTATCTTAGCGGCATTTGAGCGGAAGAATGAAATAGTTTTAGTTAGGTTAGGTTAAATGATCGATCTGTTGTAGTACCCGGAACTGCTATAGAACTGTCTCTTATACACATCTAGATGTGTATAAGAGACAGGTCAACACGCTGACGGTGGGGTGTAAAGTGGAAATCTCAACTTCTCTTGTGGCTGCTCGTTGACGTGTATTATTGTTGTTCTATTGCTCTGTTATCTTAGCGGCATTTGAGCGGAAGAATGAAATAGTTTTAGTTAGGTTAGGTTAAATGATCGATCCGTTGTAGTACCCGGAGCTGCTATAGAATTTATCATAAATACCCTCATAAATCGACAAAGCGATTGGAGCCGTTCACAAATTTATTGAGACGGGAAACTGGTTCGCCGAAGGTATAACTGCCGAGAAGTTTCAGTCTAAGTCTTGCAAAGGCTATGCTCCTTGACTAACTTTGAGCGCACAGTTTGCGAGTTCATTGCTAATATCGTCGCTCGGAATGAATGCTCACCTCCCTGAAGAACTTGGGAGCAGTGGATCTACTGTTATGATAATATTAACCACTTATTATTATTAGTCTGGAAAAAACCCTAGCGGACCGGTAGCCTAAAGCTAAGCTTAAAAGCAGGCTCCTTACAAATGGTTCTTCCTAGAACTTTTTTTCCTCGACCCATTCGTCAAAAAGCTCACTATGCTGCTACCGAGTTCCCCCTGCCTCCATATCCCTCATGGGTATGTCAGCGGAGAAACAGCCTACAGCAGAAGAAGAAATTCGAGCGTGACCCTATTTGGACTCGTTCATATACCCAGCGTCTCTTTAGAGTGATTTTCGCATCAATGCGACATGCTATGTCCACAGGTGCTTTGTGTTAAATGGCATTAAAAGCAATTGTTGGTGTGATCTACGGAACACCGAAGATGCCGATGAGAGCCGGTATGGTCCACAGAGCAACCAAGATTGCAATGAAAATCGCTCCTCGTTCCCATGACGGATCTACGTAACCGGAATGCACCCGGATTTTTTATCCGGTCATGGATTGTCAATTCGGCAAAATTCTGTCGCTACGACAACACTGAGCGCCATCGTAACTTATTCGAGCGCTTTACGACAGGCGATCATACAAAATTATTGGCTTGGCTATGGTTTCGTAGAGCCCAAACACCAGAGTATCCACCTTTTCCAAGCTCTGATTTTTTGCTTTCCTAAAAATTTGGACGTCATGAAAGCTTTTTATGCAGCATAAGCTCCAGGAATTTTACCTTATCAAGAAGTGGAACACGCGAGCCTTCGTATATGGGGGAGGGACATCTGACGATATGCGATACGAGAGAATTACAGAAAGTTAAGAAATAACAAAAAAAATTAACAAAGGCGTGGATTACAACAGCTGTGAACAGTCAAAACGCGCATAAACTCAATCAATCAAATTGCAGTTCAAAGGTCAAGGGGTAGTGCATACAAAAGCCAAGCAGCAAGCAAACAGAGGCGTAGGAGACAAGGTAGGAAGTGCGCACACATGCAGGTTGAAGGTCAAATGTCAGAGGAGCTGCTCAAAACCGAGGGAAATTGGAAAAATGTGGAACACAAAACAAGAGAATGAGAGAAGAGACAAAACAAATCCGCCCACACACACACACACACCACACAAGACAACGCTTAAACGCTGATGTCAGCAGCAGCCTACAACAAGCAACACACAGACCTGTGTGCCTATGTGGGCAACAAGAATCAATGCAATCAATCTCGGCATGCGATTACCCACATTCACCCAGCGGCGCAGCTGCTTTATTCATGCCACATTTCACTTATGCAATACTCAGGCGATTACTTGTTGCAATTCGCGGTGACCGCTTGGAAATTTATCGCGCCACAGCATTAATAAATTAAATTAACTTTGAGTAAAATCTATTTAAATTGATTGCATCAGCAGCGTTAACAACAACAATAACAACAGCAAACAATTGTAATCAAAGAATGTCAACAACATTACACGAGCATAAATGAAGGCACAATAATAAAAGCGCATAGAAAAGTTAAAAAAAAAGAGATGACAAAACACAATGTTGTTTTCAAAGATATTTTACTCTGCTTTCTGACCTTCCCAGCGCACAATTCCCTATGCGATACACAGCAACAGCTGAGATTTAATTCAATTGTAGCTGGCTGCGGCTCAGTTTGGCCGCTCTTCAGCGCTCAAAGCACACTCACGTACAAAGCAGAACTGCGGTTCCCACCAACTTAGATTATTTTTGAACTTATTTTTATATTGATGTATGCCTTGTTGTGATTTTTTTCTTACTAATGACGACGCTAGTACTTGTTTTTGTGATGGTGTGTGATTTTTGAGACAATTTGACAAGGCGATGTGATATGGTGATGTGACAAAAATAAAAAAATGCTTACTTAGCTAATTCATATTGCTTGGCGATAGTTGTTTTTGTGATGATGTGTGATTTCTTTAGATTATTTGATAATGTGATGTAGCGATGTGATGTAATGTCATGATGTGATATGTCGATAAGCTTAAATATAGTAGTTATTTCAGAGTTATTAGCTGTCAGCTGTCAACAGTCGATGTAGTATGAAAGCGTCGTCAATGTGATGTGCTGGTGATGTGCATGTGATATGATAATTTACCAAAATCAAATCAAATCAAAATGCTTATTTAGCTACTTTACATTACTTGGACGCTTCTTTAATGTGGCCGCTTCTTTGATGTGATATGCTGATAATATGATGTGATGTTTACCTTTGTTATGATAGTGATGTATACGCAATATAATTACAGTAGGTCAATCACATTTTTATTATTTTTTATTGTTAATCATATACGATGTTGTAGATGAGATGCTGACGCTCATATGATATGCACGTGATGTGCATGTGATTTGCGTTTGAAGCGCCCGAAATCAATTTTAAGGTGTTTACTAATAAGAACTCTTGAAATATTTTAATTTACTACATTTACTAAGCAGTCGTAGTGTCGTGATCGCTCTAATCAAGTGACTTGATGTCGTCAGCAACAATTAGCAAACAACTTGATTTTATTCGCGCTCAAACACAATGACTGTTGCGCATATGATGAATATGATTATTCTAGTATTGTTTTTATCTTTGCTGACTCAAGCTCCCTTCATACAATGGAGGCACAAAAATTTGTTGAGCTGATGTAATGGCAAATCGCACGCTCATTGTTGTTACATTTTACCACGATCTGTGATTTATTATTGCTAGTGCGTTTATTTTTGCATTTTGCAAAGCTTTTATAAAAATTTATTGCGTTTGATTTTGACAATGAGTGTGCAATTGCAAAACAGGGTTGCTTTGTGCAGCATGAGTGCATTAGTTGTGATCAAGCTCGTTATTTAAAGATTAACTCACGTTCATGTGGATAATTGTGTTATGAAATTCGAAAATATGTGCAACGGCGTAATATTTTTAATAAATATTTACTGTTTTAAATGCCTCAGTATATTTTTTCTGCACATTAGGGTGAACCATTTCCGAAATATTTTATTTTTTCAAATATTTAGAAGCGAGATAAAATTTTCTCTCTGATAATAAGATAAAAAATATAAAACTATAGAGATGTACTGTAGAGAATTTCCTAGAATAAGAGCCAACTTTTCAGAGTATCAAGTAAAAGAAAACTCGTTTCTTAGCCATTTTAATACATATAGCTAAAAGAGTTTAGTAATTTTCCCTCTTTTTTAAAGAGTACATCCAATTTATAAGTAAAAAAACATCGCACTCACCTGATAATCTCTGTTGGAGAATAGACTCGCTGATGCCGACTCGGAAAATACGCTGTCGTGTGATTGCGAGAGTGGATCGTGACTGTAGTCGCTGAAAAAAAAAAAGAATAAAGATTAATTATATTTATAGTGTACAAATTTACCGTCTAAGCTTCCTTACTGTTACATAGAATAATGGGCAATATGGGGCAAGAACCAGTTTAGTCAATGAAATAACAAAGAAATCACCTAAAACTGCCTCTTTCACCCTCTCTCCCTCTCTCTCTTCCTTTTTCAAAACTCCCTCTATCTCACTCTCTCTCTCCCTTTCTCTCTCTACCTCTCTCCTTTGGTTCAAGTTAAGGCATATCATACAGACTGGGTTTATGACAAATTTTGTCCTCTTTCTCACTCTCTCTATCTCTCCCTCTACCTCTCTCCTTTGGTACAAGTTAAGGCATATCATACAGACTGGGTTTATGACAAATTCTGTTCTATTTCTTGAGATTTAGAGGAATGTGATACTTAAAAGAAACACAGCCCAGTCTGCTAAGTTCGAAATTGCTAAAAAAAAATTATCCCAAATCTGAAAATTACTAAAAATTATCAATTCTTAAATAGACACAGTGTAACTTAGTTTTTGTAAATTTACTTCAAGGAAGGTAATTCCAGATATTATTTTGCTGCGCTTGCTTTCTCTATTGGGGAAAACGATGTGTTTAACTTAACTTGGATCTACTTTTCTCGGCCGAATTCCCAGCTGTGCACGTGCGACGCCAAGTCCGGCTCGAATGACTTAAAATCGTGAGCCGGCTGGCAGTAAGTATTGCCTCTTATTTCACTCATATATATATGGTCTACGGAAAGGGGGCTTAGGTGTCAAAAAATCTTAGTTGATTCGGATGGAAGATGAGATGCTTTTTCACGTGATAGAATCCAAAAATTCATAAACTAGTTTTCGCACGTTAGCACCCTTTTCGTAGACCAGGTCACATATATTGATTGGATGTAGAGGATAAGTTCCAGAGCCTTTATTGAGGTAGTTTTCATTGCGCAGACATCTTGACCAGGAATGATGTCACGCGGGAGTATGATTAAATTATACATTTATCCACTTTAGAAAATCTTTTATTAGGAGTGGAACTATCGATTAATCGATTTTTGTGGCATTCTCGGTTATTGGGAGTAATTGAAAAGGGAGCGCTCTGAAATTTCACACACGTCCTTTCCTTCCAAAGAAGCTGCTCGTTTATCGGGACCGCCGATATTGGACCACTATAACATATAGGTGCCATACAAACTGAACGATCGGAATCCAGTCCTTGTAAGCAAAACTATTTCATTTGACGAGATATCTTCACGAAATTGTGCACAGATTATTGTCAGAGAGAATATTGTAATCTCCAAAAAAAAAAATTATTTTGATCGATTCACTATAGCATATAGCTGTCATACAAACTGACGAACCAAAATCAAGTTCTTGTAAGGAAACTTTTATACTTGTGAAGGGTATTATTAAAGGTTCTGTAAGATAAATTTTTCAAACTACATTTCTGTGCCCCACGATTTTTTCCCATTAACCATTTGAACTAATCAGCTGTTTTCTAAAAATAGCTCACCAAGCACATTAGTGCTGCCGTTAGTCGAGACGTGGGAAGTAAACAATTTTAAGCGTATCGATTGGCAGAGAAGAGAAGGAAGAAAATTGTGCAAAACGGGACAAAAAGAAATTTCAAACCGTTGAGTCACGTGTGCCCAATCGATTTGCATGCGCTGCCGTTACGATAAGCCGTAAAGAGGAGATGCAAAAACACAAGTAGTTAAGCGGCAATAAAACATTTTCACACACATATGCGTGTGCGTGTGCGCGTATGTGTGACTTGAAGTGAAACTGTTACGCCGGCACCGGAAATCACTTGTGCGACTTCCGAAAGCAGCAAACCAGCTGCGTAAGCCATGACAAATATTACAACAACAAAATGCATACAACAACATATTTTATGTGGCCGACGCGAAGCGCGCTAAGACGCAAGAAGCAAACGCCGGCAGCTTGCGCTGAACGTGACTGGCGAATGAATTAATTAAAGCAAAGTAGCATAGGCATACAACAACAACCCACGCACATAAACATATTTCAACTTTTAGGGAAGCATATACAATTGTTTTTTGGCACTCACCTGTCCACCAAGCGCCCTTCGCTGAGGCTACGCTGACTGTCTGTCATCTCACTGCTCGCACAGCCATTCGTCCGTCCGCCACCGTTCGCACTGCTGCTCATTGTTGTGTTGTTGGCGCTGCCGCTATCATTGCCACTGCTGTCCAACTCCTGCGACGAGTCGCCAATGCTGCGCAACTTCTGGCGCTCAGCGTAGAAGCTGCGATTCATGGCGCTCGGCAGCACGGCCACGCCCAGCGATTGCCGCACCGAGTGTGGCGGCTGGAAGAGCACACCGCCGCTGCTGCCCACCTGTTGATGCTGATGATGGTGGAACAGTGCCGATGTGGTGCTGTGTGTGGCATGTGTTGTATACATGTCGATATCTTCTTCCAATTGTTGTTGTAATTGTTGTTTATTATGTTGTTGTTGCTGTTGCTTGTGTTTACCACCACCTCCACCTAACACCGTTGCCAATAAGGCATCTCTGTGCTGTGTGGACTTATTAGCGCCACTATTGCCGGCGGCGACAACAGCACCAACACCACAGCCACTGATCGAATAGGATTTCGATTTGGGCAGCGATTGTGATGAGTAGGCGTCCTGCAGTTGTTGGTGGGTTAATGGTGAGGAGGGCGATGAGGCTGACACCGCTGACGATATGGAGGAGAGCGTGGCGCTGCGTAGATTCTTTTCACTGGTGCTGCTGGTGGGCGGTGGCAATGTGTTGGTTGTGTTGACGCTCGGCGGTGTGTCCGGTACGTTGGTGATCGTGCGTCGACGAAATATGCGTCGGAGATTGCGCAGCGGATGGAAGCGACGACGTTTCGGTTCTGAAATGAGAAAATTTTTTTATACAATTATTAATTAATTTCATGAAATATTGTTTTTATATAAATGAAATGAGTGGTCAGTTGCACCTGTGGTTGGACAACTTTATGCCAAATTTGTATTAGACTTAAGCGACGCGTATATACTGCGAATTTTGGCCGCAATTTGTTTTTGTTTATTTTTTGTAATTTTTTTTTTATTTTTTTGATATAAAAAGGCAAGTGAAAATTATTCACAATAATTAGAAATGTCAATATTTCTAAAGCAAATAAATATCAAATAACGAAAAAAAATATAAAAGAACCGCGTAGCAAAAGCTCACCACTAAACTCACCATTGGGTGTGGGAAATTACTATAGACTTTTATGAGAAAAAACAAAAATGAAATAAAAGCTCTTGTAAACTAAACTTTGACCGACAAAAATATGTAAATTCGAACAACTTCCTGCTCAAAGCTTTTGAAAACTTTTGGGAGGATTTTTACTGTTATCACTTTTGATGATGATTCAACAAGCAAACCTTAAGCCATAGCTTGACAAACTCTCAATCGGTTTGCTTTACAAAACCCTCGATTTGAGTGCTACTAAGCTTTAGGGTTCTTTTATAATGGAATGGAATAATATTTGCTCTAGTTCCCGAGCTTTATATGCAGAGGTATAAACATTATATAAATATAATATATATATATTTTTCAATATACATATACTTTTTAAAGAATAAATTATTGCTTTTAAAGCTTAATAATATATAGAGAGTGGAAAAGCTTAAACACACTTTTGAACTTCTGGATTATTACTTAAAGACTTTATAGAGACAGTAATGAGCTTTCAGCTTTATTCGCATTTATTTTTATATTTCTTTGATATTTTCAAAAAGATTTACATTATGTACCTTGTGAGCTTTTTAGAGCTTATGTAATTATGTATAAAAATATTGACTTAACTTAAGCATACATTTTTCCCCGCGAACATATGTTTCTTACGCTCAAAGTCAATTTAAAATTATAATAAAATACATTTTCGAAATATTACTGAGCTTTTGAACTTTTTATAAACTTCTCAAAAGCATCTGATTCTCACTAAAATTCATTAATTAAACATTATCAAACGCTTATGGGTTATTTTACAGTCAAACTTTGTTGTAAGTAACCCATTTTTTTAATTAGTACGAAATGAGCTTTTAAGAGCTTTTAGTTTTAATAAGCTTTGTCGCCCACCATTCATTTAGACGTTTCGGATTATTTTTCGGTTCACTTATATTAACATAAAAACATGATCTACTTTGATTTTGTTTTATTTTTTGAGATTTTGTGAGCTTTACCATATTATTTCGCAGTTCAACTTTAAGAAATTTTCGAATTTTGTAAAAATTATGATATATATGTATTAGCACATATATGTACATATGGACGTATCTATAAATATATTTCAACATTAAATTCGCACAAAGTGCACAAGCAATAAAATTGTGGGCGTTTCCTTTCAACCTAATATATGTATACCGGAGATGGGGAAGAGTAGGGAGCGGTGTAAGAGTGATGCATATAAAAGTCACCTACAACAATTTTTAATGAGCAAAATACCGAAAGCGAAACTGTGCGAAACAAAAACAAAAAGAAGAGAATTCGCAAAGACATAAAGCGGCATGCTGGCAGCCGCCACCGCCGACTCATCGTCTGAGCAACACGTGCGGCGCACCGGCTCAAAGTGGGTTAACACGTCGAATGCATGCAATGAAGCGGATGAGTCTTCACATTAAATTTTATAGAGGCCACACATAAATACAAATTCTGTATAATCACAGATATAAAGACATGTTTACGTATAGATGGGTGTCTTTCCTATGTTTTCACATTGCGAGAGTTGGTGCGAAAAAAGGCGAGTGTCAGTCGTAAATAATTTTCGAGCAGGCAGATATACCGGCACAATCACGTGTTTGCCTTTTTATGTCAAATTTATGCACATGAGATTTACAGTTATGGCGGTAGACAAGCAAGTGTGAATTCACTCCACGAAATTAAACATGTCATTATTTGGCTGAGCGAATAGAAATCACAATTTAGACATTAAAGAAAGATTTGAACTAATTTGGGATGGAACCTAGACAATTTAGGAAAGCTTCTGATACATTATATTTCGGAGACCATGCGCCGATTTTTAATCAAATAATTTATGCTGAAGCTTAGCATTTTTTTGTGAAGTTGTGACGATCGCACGTTTAAGCTCAACTTTTGAGAGAGATGCCTCAGAAAATTAAAGAGATTTAAAAGAATACAACCCCTTGAGCCAATTTCCAGGACCTTTTAAGGAAGCCTGAAGTCAACATGAGTTCTTTTTTGCTGACTGAGTCTTGACGATAGCAACTACGATCATTAAAGCTTTTCAAGATGAACCCTAGGGATATTTGAAAGCCTATGTGTGATCTCTCAAACTCACTTTACTTAGGAAACTTTTTAAGAAACCGAAGTCAATAAAAGTCTTTATTACTAGCCGAACCTTGACGATAACATCTACGGTCATTTAAACTCAACTTCTGAAGAAGACACTTTACACAAATTACGAGATTTAAACGTTTAGGATCTGTCGAGCACATTTCCAGGCCCTTTTAAAGATACCTAAAGTCCACATGAGTCTTTGTTTGCTAATCGAGTCTTGACGATAGCAACCACGCTCATTTTACCTCAGACTTTCAAAGAGAAACTTAGGGAAATGAGGTGATTTGAAAGCTTACGATCTCTCAAGCACTTTTTGTAGAGCCTTTTGAGGAAATCCAAAGTCAACATGACCCTAGCTTCCTTGAAGAAACTTGACGATAGCAACTATGGTCACCTTTTTAAAGAGAAATCCTAGGAAAATGAGGATATTTGAAGGCCAATATAAGATCTCTCAAGCTCACTTCTGACTATCTGTTTTAGTTTAAATGAAAGGGCAAAAAGACCGACCGGCCGGTCGACAAAAAGAAACGCTAAAGGAAAAAATGAAAGATTGTTAAAAAAACTAAAAGATATATCACAAAATATTCACAACAATCCGTCAAGTACCCCAATACTTTTTAAATCTAATAAATTCTCTAAAATAGACTTAATCACCTATCAAAACCTATCAAATAGCCTGAAAAGCTTATGCATTCTATTTTATTTCAGTCTCAGTCCCTCAAAAAATTTTAAACTACTCTTTTAAGGGTAAAAGTTTCGCGTTCTGTGACCTTTTTGAAGGAATAAAGAAAGGGAAATAAGCTTGAAGCCACAAATTTTGCATTAGAAGAAGAAGAAGCTACAATGACGTTGTGCATAGGTCAATGTGCCTTCACTAACACACAAAATAAGCTTTCACTTTCTATTTTCCGCTAACTTCAATCAAATACAAAAGCATATTTTAATCGTAAAAAGCTGAATACTCAAAATTTAGTTGTCACTTGTGCTGACCTGACCCTTCGTAAAATCATGTCTTTGCTATGTGAGTGCGTGTTTGGTCAAGCACGTAAGCTTCCACGACAACTTTCTACAGATCTAACGTGCTTTGATTTCTTTCGTTTTATTTCGTCTACAAATTGTGTTAGGATAATCTATCATGTTCACACTTAACGTGCTGCGTTAAGGGCAAAAATCAATACTACCGGCTTTTGCGATGGAAATAGAAATCTTGGAACAGGATTGAGCAGGTATGTGTATAAGATTAGGTATGTAGCGCGTGTTAGTTTATGAGCAATTTATTTGGGTTGAAAGGTGAATCGGTCGAAAGGTTGGATGGAAAAGATGGAGAAAAATCATGTGGTAGAATTAAATGAGGAGAAAACTAATGAAGCGCAAATTGTGTGATTTTTTTTATAGATTAAGGGTAATTTATAAATTTTTAAGTAGTTTGCTGAGGAGATAGAAATAATTTTTACTACTTTTGAGATAAAGAAATCAATCCCTTTGTTTTAGTAAAAATGTATGCATAATTACACGATAAAATACACAGTTTATAACGGTTATATATCCAGTTAATTGTTTTGTGTATAACGGTTATTTTACCAGTTAATGTTTGGTATCACAAATAATCTACAAAAATAATCGTATTGAGCTATCTAATCGCCTAATCAGTCATAAAAGTGAAATTGTTTCGCACTTCAGTTACCGAAAACAATTGAAATGTTAGTACAATGGTTGGTAGCAGCAAAGTACTAACGTACTTACGAGACGCCAGTAGATAAAGAAACTACTGAAAAATTATCAAATTTCTTGGAAACACATTCACAGTTTAAAAAAAAAGTAGTTAATGAGAGAAAACATCAGAAGTTTGTTTGCTATTTCGATTATTTGTTTGAAAAATTTCTGTTTCGATCATCAGTTAAATTTAGAAATAGCACAAAAAGAGCAAGCGAAATATTCCGTAAATAGTGGCTTGCAAAAAAGGAAACTGAAGATTTCGGTTTGCCAAAAAATTTTTAGTAAACCAAAACAAGCTGCTAACAAATTTCAAATATAGTCTGTGAAAAGAACAATCGAGGTCATTGTTGTATCAACGAAAGTAGTTAGCAAATAAGCCCGAAAAGTAATATAACTTAGCCGAAAACAGCGAGGCAAGTTAGGAAATTATAAGTAGATGTGTTCAAATAACCAACAATTTTCAAAAACCGAATTTATGGTTATCAAAAGACAAGTAGGGTCAGCTACAAACAGTTTGCATTACATTCTTGGTAGGAAAAACCGAAATTTTAACGCGAAAATTTAGCTTAAGTGGTTATAGCTAACTACTTGTGAATTTCAAATTCGGTTTTAAGCGTTTAAATTATGTTGCACACTTTTAGGCGTTCCAACCTTGCATCAACATATTTATAAGTGCTATACTTGCATCCTTAGCATACTTTTAGGCACTATACCTATCATTCTTTACTTTCCATTTGCCTAACAACAGTCGCCTGCACTTCTCAAACGATTCTTCAAATACGTAAACTGCTATCATTTCTCTCTTTCCTCTTCTTAATTCTCAAATAATATTGTCGAAAATGCTTAACATCT